TAATATATTTTAACAAGTTGCTTTCTGTTTTAAGATTGTTTATATATCGTTTTCGGCATTGTATAGTCTATAACATTAGCACTGTCTATATTTAAGCACTTGTTTTCCTTAATGACTATTTGTGCCAAAATAAAGAGAAAAAAATACCCACACCCGCTATAATATAGATTATAATAAATTTATTTTGTACATTTACCAGACCGGGAATCGAGCCGCCGGTCTTAAAATGAGGATAACTCAAAACCAGACTACGTATGAAACACACGTCATGTATTACAGACCACAGGTCACAAATCAACCCAAGTATGATGGATAAGTAAGTAACCGATATAGTGCATAAGTTGCATGGATATTTAATAAAAAAATAAATAATACATACTCACGTATTGACTTCAAATATAATGTTTTTAAGCGAATCAGGCATTTATTGTTTTCCAGTTCAACAGCCGAACTAAAGAGGGCGCGCGCGTCAACCCAAAGTGACTAACTACGAATTGGTTTAAGTACAAAAAATAGACGAAATATGCTGTAATTCAAAATAAAGGTCCTGTCACAGGTAAAAAGTAAAATAAATATTTTAAGACAGCAAAAAAGGATAAAAGTACCTAAAAAAAGAATCCTTTTTTTGTTGTAACTATACTCTTTTATATGGAAGATTGATAAATATCACATTTTGCCGTACAATTCACTATGTATATATCCTTTTCTATCTTATTGCCGAGCGTTATGAGATAGAGAGGCACAGAATTTTGGTTTTAAGCCCATATAACGCTTAATCTTTATACGGTTGGTTAAAGTAATGGAAGAGTCAAAGAAAAATATTCTTAGAATTTCCGCCATATGGCAAATTTCTTTGAATTTCGTTCAGTAGTTTTTCGTAAAAGAGTAACGAACACACAAAATTTTGCATTTTCCCGATGTTCCCAAGAGTGCACGACACACGACAGAACTCTGATACAATACGTATTTACCGAACCGTAAGCACCACCAGGACTCGAAATATACAAAATAAGCTTTTTGACTTGACTTGACAAAGGAGGTTGAAAGTTACTGATTTGCAAAACCTCTTTTCTGGTTCGCTTGTGGTGGTGATAATGCTAGTGATGCCGAAAGAACCGCTAGTTTACCAGATGTTGGTGTTGCACTCTTGAGGAAAATCAATGCACAGAGTAAGATATTATCAAAGCGGCTTCATAACACTGTTCTTCATTATTCTTTTCTTACAATGAGTATTTATTTAATAACCAAATCGCAAAGAAATAAAAGTGACTTCATATCATAAAAACGCTCTATTTGATTCCTGTCACCAATTGTGCCGATATTTACGTAAACAAAGTAATTTTTCTCTGTTATTTCAAAGAAGATCGTTATAATTCACGACTTCCTCTGGTTTTTTGCGTCACGTGGACTCAGTCCAAAGACACCCATAATTAGGGTCAGACAATTTTACGTAATGCTGTCTAAATATACACAGGGCCCTCATGGGAGCGAGATGTGACTGACACCAACGTATTACGTAGGTGGTTGAGTTGAAAATCGATAAGTATCATCACCTTAGACACCTGTTTTTGCTCCAAAATTCTCATACGTATTATAATTATCTTTTTCAGATCTTACTTTAAGAAGATTAAAAGTCGTGTCGTAGGGCCCGTATTTTCAGAATCTGAATTATTAAGTCTATTTAAGTGACTGGGACCGTATAAAAAACTGAGAATATTCATCTTATCAAGAAAAGCTTAGTCATAATATCAAACAATAAATGAAGTAGTTGCTTGGAACTATTTTAAACAGAATCCTAATAAACCTATTTTGTTAGACTTCAAGAAGTATTAGATAATATATTGCCAAATCTAATTTATATACCTATAGAGGTACCTCTTATGTTTTATAATATAAATAATGTTTCAAATATATATTATAATTAATCATATAAAATAATATGCTACATATTTTATAAATTTATAGGAAGAGATAGTGGCGATTTGCGTTTATTCATAACTAGCTTTCGCCAGCGGCTTCGCCCGCGTGGACCCTAGGGTAATGTTAAGTGGGATAAAAATCCTATTATTTAAGTCAGCTAATATCCTATCTGTATATCAAATTTCATCCAAATCCGTTCAGTAGTTTCGGCGTGATTGACCAACAAACATCCAAACATCTAAACATCCAAACAAATAAACTTTCACATTTATAATATTAATAGGATTTAAATGATCCCAGAGTTTTTTTGGTCTTATCTTGAAACAGGCTCCATGTTTTTTTTATGGTATTCTACAATGTTTGCTGACTGTATGTTTTTACAAACTCTATGAATGCAGTTTAGAATATATTAAAATATTATAAACGATCTCCTAGGACCGCTTTCACGTAACAATAAAAGTTAAGATTTCATACCGTCAAATATCAAAAATCCTTATAATAATATGGTATTATGAATAATGCACTAATTTATCACTTTGTCCATAACACATATGTTATATGTAATTTAACTAATTGACCCATGTTAAAGAGCACGCGCCAACGAAAGGACTCTCAAGCACGGTGACAAGAGACAAAATGTCACCAAACATGTAAGCATTTGCATTTACTTTATATTATTTATCGACGAAAATATCTATCTAATGTTTACCTTTTTATTGATAGAAGATCAAATAGATATAAATTTTATCAAAAGGACATTAAACGCGTTAAGATTTAAACTACACATATAAATCCATGATTTAAACAAGGGTACACCTCAACCGTTCAGCAGAGAAAACATGCATGTACCGTGCCCCAATAAAAACAGAATGTTTACAGTTTGTATACAGTAAAGTGTTCCAGTACGGAAAGTTAAAGCTAGTATCAGTTAATTACACTGTAAAAAATAGATTTACACGTTCCATTTTGCAAGATGTAAAAAAGGGTTTGAGAGAAGTCTTTAAGACATCAGATTAAAGTTTAGTTTGCGATGTGATTGATTTTAGTTAATAACTGCTCGAACATCGATGCAGATCATTTTGAACGTTGAAATCTGCTGTGATAGATTTTTTAAATAAAATGATATCAATATCTATGTGGTTATATAAAATTGTTCTACAGATCATCTACGGTTTTGACTAGGTTATAAAATAAAAATAAATTATTAAATAATAAAAAACACGACTGAAAAATAAACTAATAAAAATAAAAGAAACAAGTTGTATTATGGCTTAGCCAAATAAAGTTCTCATTGCATTTTGGGGACAGTTCTGTGAAACATTTGCAGGTAACCAATGTTTAGCCAAACCAAAACATTTCTTGATAGGTAAATGATATATCGAAGTTTGTCATAAACGTTATGATTTTCATAAATTAATATTAATGCCAACGAAATTACTGTGGATAGTGATAATTCAATAGAAAAAAGAAATAGTATCAAAAATCAATTAATTAAAAAGTAACAAATACTGATAATCGATGTGTTTTACAATCCTCTAACAATTATACACAACATCGTGCATTCATATTATTAATATAAATAATAATTATAGTGAAAAACAATAGAAATCAAATGCGGCCTAATATTACATAAACATTAATTAAATTAATCAGTGCAGATGTTAAAACGGTGTTTTAACGATTTCGTTGTTGCCAAAATTCTACCACAGTTGAAACTAGAATTATAAAACAACCAAAACTATATTTATGTAGACTAGTTTGATATACGTTATAATATCAGTTCAACATTAACAAAATCATGCTGGTGTTCTGTTGTAATAATATTGTTAAATAAATAACCATTCTTAAGCCGAAATATAACGGCATACGCTCCTATTTGCTCCCCCAAATCAGACAAAATGTATGTAGACGATTCCGTAAGTAATAAGCTTACGTTTGCTTAGAAGGATGTATGTTTGTACGACCTTATGAGCCTCCGCTAATGAATGGTGCCCCCTATATTACGCGACTGCCAAAATAAACTGTTTCCTCTCCAGATATTTGTTTCATTCACACGTATTAACTGTATTCATAATAATGTTCTTACTCTTTATATACATATCGATAAAGACAGCATGATAGGCGATTCCACTAATCGAGTATTGGTTTATAATCAAATTGATATTAGGGTAATTATAATCATAGATGGGTAACCGCACTATTATGGTGACGATAACAATAGGGAATCGTAGATGTTTGCAGGTAAATTATGATATATGTATTGTAAATCTCGGATTGGGAATGAGCTTTTCTGTTTATTTTCAGCTGCGGATAGTTTTGGTATATGTGTTGTTTACTACTTTCATAATACAAGTCTAGTAAGCTTTTAATTTCAAGAATTTGAAGTAATGTAAGACAACATTAATTTATTAAAATTATTGTTTCTATAATTACAAAGTGTTCAATTAATTACAAATATAACATAATTGTATGGATTTCGTGATTTATGTGTATTGAATCTTAAAATTTATAATTGCCAAGCGTTCATTTAATGAATGAATATATCACAGGAATATGTAAATACAACTTCTTTGGAATAACGGCGTGATTAATTCAGAAGATCGAGCATACTATAATGGAATTCAAACTGATATGTATGTAATTAGATTTGGAAAGGTGTTTGTCAATTTGATATGCTACATGTGTAATGTTTGAGCAGCGATATATCTTGAATCACATTTTTGTTTATATTAGAAATAATAAATTAGTATATTATTTCTAACATAAACAAAAATGTATCGAGATAGTAAGTAATTCAAATATAATTTATGCGATTTAAAAGTTACAATTCCATTTTAATACGGTACGGTATTATCACTGATCCTGCATCGGATTCTACAAACGGGAGGGTTAGAACCGCGACATTTCCGCCCCGTACGAAAATCGTGTTTGCCACCACCCTTAGCAAACGTTCAACCCGGCTCGTATTATACTAGAAACATCTAATTTCGGAGTTTCCACCTCCTAACAAACAGCCAGCCGCACCTCATTAAGCTGTGTTTATTTCTGCATATACAAACATCGAGATATTCACAACTCACGTCTTTGATGTCGCTTCGCCCGAGACAGAGTCGGTGTCTTCGGCGGTTTCGTTTTGACGCTCCTGTAGCAGTATATTGGTTCCTCCTTCGCCTTTTGCTTCAACAAAGGCAGTTTGAAATTCGAAAACATTGCGAAACATCACTCACAAATGCAAAATAACAAGCACACTTCACGTTGTAACACCCACATATTCCAATTCCAAAGAGATCGCACTAGATTTTAAATTTGATTCCAAAGAGTTTCCTTTTAATAAATCGCAAACTTCTGTTCGGTGTGAATAGATTATCTCTAGATCAATATCACTGTTGACTAGATTATTCGACATCGAATTCACGCACAGTCTACGCGTGCGATGGCGGCTGCTTTCTCAATTTTGTGACTTGTTGTTTTATGCGTACACGTCTCTCTAAATATAGAATGAGCGGGCGTCTGCTTCTCTCACTACGTCCGTTATAATTCCTATTATATTAATAAATAAAATACTATACAAATATTGCCGGTAATAAAACATTACAAATAGTGTCGGGGTATGTATATAGCCTTTTATCTTTGGTTAATGGCACGTTCTACTTGCATTTAGGGCGTGTTTAGGCTCGGCGTTTTTTACTACGCAATGTAAAGCTACAATTTTTATTAAACATTCTTATAGCTCTCGGTCATATTAATTACTATTGACTTCTTTTTATCGTTATACTCAAGTAAATTGAAATCATACAAAATAAATTCTTCCGAATTTGATATAATAGCAATATCAGCATGTTCAGTGAACGGATGGTAGGAAAAGGAATATAAAATAAGAGACGAATGGAACAGTACTACTATATTCACGATCTATCAAGGGAAGTGGAAAAACAGGCCGAAAATAATCATTCGCTCCGGAAACTGGATGGAAATAGATCGGCACATGAAACTTTTTTTTCTCTTCATAATCCGTTTTTCACGGTTCGCTCGTTTCGGTTGCTTTATGTAAATTCTATGGTATATATTGATGTTCTGTGCACTCGTTGGTGTTTTCAGTTTTTCTACGTTGCCTAGTTGAATAGGTGAAGTTTTAATTTCGCAGTTCTAGCTGGTGTTCGTTAATTCATTAGTTTTTGTACAAATTTAATCTCTAGTGTTTTGTTAATTTTACTAGGTTTTCTGAAATCAGTGTTTACAACACTTTGTTTCACTTAAATAAACTTATTTATTGATTATTTCAATTCGCAATCAAAGTATATAGTATTATGATTAGAATTTACCTTGACAACACAAAAAATAATGCATTGATTCTATAACTTGTTTTAACTCCATATTGATTTTAGTCAAGTTATTTATCATAACGGATGTGTTATGCCATTTAATAGCATAATTCTATGCTTTTCCACCCCACAATGTAAAACGAACAGTTATATATATTTTTTTATTAAACCAATTAATTCAGAAGCGGCATAAAATTTTCAACAAACACGTCATCCGTCTTCGCTAAACTCGTAATTTCCGCCCGTACTATTGTTTGGCCTTGTCAATAAAACCCCGTGGGTTCAATCTGACAAATTAGTACCCTCATTTCGTACCGCTGAATGTTTGTGAGCTTAAAACTTCAGCCGTTCCAGTAACAGTTTCCTCACTACAAACACGAGACTTCTCTGACAGTTGTATATACATAATAAACTTTGAACGGCACAACAATAATCTTTGCGAGGTAATAAAGTTCAAATTCCATTGAATTTAACTATCTATGAGGTTATTTACTGAGCCCTTAAGACCTTCGAGTCATGGTTCAAATTTGTCTGTTGGGATTTAAGATGTAACTCAAACCAGTCGAATATCCTTTCTAGTCATAACGAGATAGCATTAGGCCCTCGTTAAGGGCGTAATTAAAGTCTGCCGCACGTACGCCTGGTCCATTGTCGGTCCCCGCTGCGTATATACCTGGCTGACCAGTGAGAGTGCATACGGAAAATTATTTTAAACGTTTCTATAACGTTTCATGGAGTGTCCGAGACAACGGAGGTACAACATGGGTATTGAACCAAAGATAATATCATCATCACTAGCCTATTTATGACCTCATTACTTTATTTACATTGGCACACGCTTTCCCTTAAGCTGAAATCGAAACGTGGGTCAGGTGCGGCTCTATGAGTTTTTAACGGAAGCATATGCACATGCAGCCAGGACCATGCAACGGATTAACATTCCGAAGCACGTAGGGGACAATATAGAAAAGTTTTTTAAACATTGTCCCGACCCGAAATCGGACTCGGGACCTCAAAGATGGTGAAACTTTGAAACTGATGTGTGAAGCACTCGGCTATGCATGTACTTTATCAGCTATTTCATGTTTTTTATAGATTTAATAGGCTGTATTCATTTCTATCGTATTGGATTACCTTTAAAGCTTTCGAAAGCTCTTGTACATTTTTGTCCCTCCGACTATTAGCAGAACATTTGCGATTTATTGATCTACCTACATGTTTTGAAACATTATCACAATAAAATACAATTATGATTGTATATTCTTATACCGTATCTCCTAATGTTAATAGACTTGTCTTGGATGAAATTCCTAAGTCGGCAAAAAACAATAAGAATTCTCTATGCATGTGTGTAAGGATGTATAATAAATTGCCGATTGACATTAAACAATTAAGGGTAAAATTATTTAAGACAAAGTTGTTTATATGGCTGAATGAGTATAATTTTTATAGTGTTAAGCAGTACTTGGACATGTAATAATGTTTATAATAATAATAATGGGTTTATGACATTTATATCAAATTTTATAATCTTTTAATAATTATTTTATTTTTATTGTATTGTAATTAATTAATATATTTGCATGCTAATGAGAATAGCGAAACATGTTGAACTGCCTATTTTTGTAAAACTTTAAATACCATGTTTGACGCAAATAAAGATCTAATCTAATCTAATCTAAACCTACTATAAATAAAATATAAATGATATTCATATGATAAACTTCTGGGAAATAAAATTCAATCTCTATTCGCATTAATATTACGCATATGAAAAATACCCTTACGAGTCAACGTAATATAGACCATTTAGGGTCTTTGCATATGATTAACCTTATCTCTCTTTTAAATAACAGTACATATTAGAGGTTATTATAATTACTGTTCCTAATTCAGCTGTTAATTGTAAACATAGCCTATGTCATCCGCGTATGCTATAGATTCCCGTAGATGAAAGAATTTTTTTAAATCGGTCCCGTAGTTTGCCAATGCAAATAAACAAACTAACATAACCCAGTGATATCTATACAAACTATCAAACAATCTTTCCTCTGTATTATAATTTAATACCGATAATTTTAATATCATCCAGTTTTTTTATCGCTTTGCCCCCCACTTGGTGGCCTTTTCATACAGTTTTTCATTCATACTATTTGTTGCTCGTGCTTCATTCTTCGCCTTTAAGGCGGATACTCACCTGTTCCTCTAATCCCACTTGATCCTTTTATATTTACTCTTTGGTGTAAAAGAATATATTTTTCTTATTTATATTACTTTAGATTTTACATTTTTTCTTTTGTTGTTTATCCTAATATATTAACTTATCTATGACTTATCTGTATTTGATATTCTACTACACATTTTTTATATTATTTCATATTTATTTTTATAACTTAATTTCTCGTTAACCTATTATTAAGATTTTTCTTCTAATTCTACTTTAATGCCATCGAACCCTAAAACTATTAGATCTGTCTAAGCAAACGTATCGTTCCGTATGTTTCCATCGTCTTGCGTTCTACCTTCATTGGGCCAACATTAAGTTAGTTTAACCACATTATTGTGCCCGCTCGTTATGTTCCGGGCAATAAAAGCTTTTATTACAATCGGATGTTGTAAGACTCCAGGCACAGTGAGAAGAAATCGGCCGGATTACCACGGGAGCTTGAACAAAATTTATTTCTTGGAAACTGTAACTGACACATTTCAGTTAAAATACAAGTTCTCTTTGATATTACATTTAAATGTTTACTTATTAATTTATTAGCAGGTACGATGAATAGATTTTATTATCTATGATAATTACTATCACTTGTAATTTCTTAACTCATTAATTATTAATCTCTTTGAAAAAATAATGAAAATTCAAAATAGTCAATCAATTTACAACTATCTTGTAGTCGGCATGCTTGGAGCTTAGCCTTGAGCTATTAAACCAATGCTTAATCATTGCAGCGTGCGAGACACCGCTATTTCTCGTATAACGCTGTCGCGCTCGCTAGCTCGTTTGATTGTCGTTGAACGCAGAGTTATAAAATCTACTACAAAAAATAATGTGGGTTTTAATTTATTTATAATTTAAATTAATAATATTGCATTGTAAGTGCAATGCATTTCAATATATAACCAAGATATTCTTGGTGAACATTTAATAATGACGTTAGCGGCAACATTTACTTTAACATTAGGGCTGTGCACACGAAGAAAATGATACTTAATCAAAAGACTACCCATTCACATAGATATGGTCAAAAGATGGTTAAGAAGGATGGTCAGAGACTACAGTAATTCCATTATAAATCAGTGGAAAGGTTATCAACGCATGGCTAGAATCCGTCATTGGGGGCAAGTTTAATTAACTGAAAGTTATTGCTTGCAGGGTGTATTCAAGGGTCCTAACACAAAAAGGAACCATTCATAAATATCCAAAAGGGGTAATGGTATCTTGTACCAAATATATAATTAATATTTATTATAATATGAGTATTATGCACTTGCAAAATTATATATTATTCTTAAAAATCCACTTTATCCCTGGCACTCTGAGATGGGACCGAACTCATGAATTTTCGCAATCCGGGCGACTGCTCTTTTCGAGTCCCATCTCGGAGTGCCAGGGACATAGTCGATTTTTTAAACATTTATCATTGAGAATATTTTTAAGTACAGCATTATGAATGCAAAATTTATCAAATATAATAAAATTATATATATATATATATAAATTGAACTTACTTAAAAAATATATAAACAATCACGAAATTTCGATTGAAGTCGTGCCATGGTTGTAGGTTAACCGCCCGAATTCAATTGAATCTTAATATTTTATATTAGTTCCTTTTGTAAAGTTGGTTAAATTATATTTTCAATATTATTGAACAAATTTTGATGATACTTATAGTGTTCCTTCAGTCGAATGTTAAGTAAACAATAAAAAAAAGAATCTCTGCGGTTAGATAAGTGGTTTGCATAAAACACGTGAGCAGACTAACATAGACTTACAGAATTTGGTACACGTGTATAAAAGCTCATAAACATTTATGAGTATTGCGACATTGAAATGTCGAAACATACTTATATCTGAGATAACAATCACAAAATAAAGACACCGTGAGACAGTATCTACAA